TTTACGTTGCAGTAACCCCTGCTTCATCCTTACAGCAACCGCAGTCCAGGAACCTGGTACTTCACAACTGCATGGCCTCTATTTTTGCATGTGTTTGTGTAAGAATCGCACTAAGCAGCTGATAACAAAATACCCCTTTACAGGCGAAAGACACCACACAACTTCTCAGACTTTTTCCCCTGGTGTTTGCAGCAGTTCTTCTGTGGAGAAGACTTTTTCCTTGGAAATGAAAGGATTTGATAAGAGCTCTTTGTATATGATGTACAGATTTATGATGGCAAATGTTGGTTAATAATTTATGATTTTGGAGTTCTAATTGCATGGAATGCATTGCTGCTTCTCTCAGACCTTCAGAGAGAGTTCTCGGGTTTTACTATGGAAATCCCATTTGTATATATTGTACTGTAGCTATTAAAATGGACATTGATCGCAAGGACTCGCTGCAGGTGGTTTTAGAACTTATACATGGGCAAATAAAGCAACAAATGGTTCCCAAATTATTTATGTCACTGTGGTTTGGTGGTTTGGGCCTTTTATTCCCCCATTTGGATCTGTTCAGCCCTTCCTCAGTGTTGCTTTGGATTCACAAGGTTGGGAGGAACCTGGAAAGTCCCCACTGCCACCGTAAGGTAGGAGCAGGTCTTCGGGGACAGGGTCGTATCTTGTCAGCAAGACTCTAAATCTTCTTTGTCCTGTTCACACATCTGCAGCAGGAGTGAATGCACGGCACACGCTGCAGCAGCAGGAGCTTTATTGAGTCACTCACGGACAGGGACCCACAGCTGGTGACCCCACAACGGTTGCATGACAAACACGTGCAGAGAGCTCAGCAAGCAGGAGGGGGCGTTGGGTTTGTTTCCCACACCCCCGGCCCCAGCTAAACATTGGTTTGAGGTATTAAGCTTAAATATTGCTTATATGGGAAAAAATTAATACATTAAAACATTTTAGAATAGCTCAAAAAATACTCTCTTTCTGGGAGAATTTATAAAGTAATAGTTGGTGGTCTTGGGCTCATTAACGTGTGTAGATTTCAGACGTACTGAACTGGAGTGCAGGTCTAGCACAGTTAAACATGGTGATGGGTTGTGATGTTGAAATGTTTTAAAGTTCAGGCACTGTTTAAAACATTTTTTTTTTTTTCCATTGGAAGAAACACAGCTCTCATGAGCACTACCCCGTAGTGTGTTTTTACAGGTAGTTTTCAAAAATGTTTTGAAAGGATGTTTCAAGAGTATTTTGCTCTGCATTTTTTTTTTTTTTTTCCCACATCATGGTTCCTAAGGCACTACCAACACGGGAGACAATAAGGCACTTTGGAAAAAGCGTTACAAACCCTTTTCTGAGGTTTCCATGGTGGGAAGTGCCAGCATGTCTGTGCCATGCTGATAGGCTTTATGGAAAGCTGTCCCTGGGCTTAGACAGCTTCTACGTAGTTGGCCGGCAGCATGCCCGTCTTGCCGGTTCTCTGGACGGTCCCGTACATCCAGCCCTCATCGATTGCTTGGACATTTACAATTGTGTCGCCGTCTTTGAAGGAAACCTCGTCAGCATCAGCTGCCGTGTAGTCGTACATGGCGCGGTAGGTCTTCTGTTGGTTTGGAGAAAGGGGAGGCAAAAAACAGAGAGAGAGGTTTAACCCCCTCCTGTGAGCACTGCCTGCCAGAGCTGGGGCCGAGCATCACCAGGTAAGAGCAGGGCCAGGGCTGTCCTGACACATGGAGTACTTGGAAAGTACTGCTGATGGACTGAGGGCAGAACCTGGCTGGTCTTCTAAAGCTCCTGCTTTCAGATCACAAAATATCTCTTCTCAATAAGGACTTAAAGATTGTGGAAGGTTAGTTTTTATCAGAATTTTTTTTTTCCTCCTCTCTAAGTTCATTTTCAGCTAGAAGCAGCCTTGCTGCTCCTGTGAGGAACAGCCCATGCAGTACCTTAGGTTGGAGCCTGCGTGTTTTCGTGACACCAAAGCTGCACAAAACATTTTCAGAGTGTGTTTGAGTAGTATCAGCGCCAGGCACCTCCAGCCCTAACTTAGTTGTTTCCTCCCAGCAGATGGTGTGGGAAGGGAATGCCACACCCATTGTCATGCATCTACTCTAAGACTCAACCTCAGGCATGGGAAGTGTTAATTCAAAGTTTTCAAGAAGTGGTGAGGGTCTGTCGCCCTTCAGTGGCTCAGTTACACCTTCACCTGGTTTGGTGCCCAGCCTCAGCCCCAGGGGAGGCACGCTGCAGCCTCAACCATGAACTACCCTCATCTGGAGCGTGATGGAGCGTGCACCACTCGCTGTCGCAGACCCCAGGGCTGGGCACCACTCCTGCAGCGAGACTGGGCCTGAGCATTGACACAGCTCCTCAGCGTTACTTACACCAGCCGTAGACGGGTGAGAAGGAACCGACGACACCGTTGTTTGCTGGGTGGCAACTGAGGATGACCGCTGCTGTGGTAACTCTACAGTTTTAGCATGTTTGTAGCCCACTACAAAAGGAAAATATATTTTGTATTGTTTATCACAGAATGGGTGCTGGGCTTAGAGCTGCTCTGAGGACAGATCATGGGGCAGGACAGATGCATCAAATCTGCCTTTTACCCCCTGAAATACAACTTTACGGCTCTTGGTTACATCCATAACATTTTGCAGGTGTACTTCTGTGCTTTTCTTTTCCTGGTGAAAGCACTTATTGAACGCAAGCCCATCTGGGTAGGGTTTGGCCTCACACGTGAATAAATGGCAGGTCTGTTCTCCTACCTGTTGCAGTGGTGGTAAAGAAGCCGCCGTTGCTGTAGTAGGACAAACGCTGATCCACGCCATCCGAGGGTTCTGATTTTTCATCGCCGCCAGTGAGGCTCAAGGCACTGGCAGCGCGGGAGTGCTCGCGGCTGCGGCGCTGGGCTTGGACTGCAAGGAGAAAGCTTGGGTTTGTAAGGAGATGCACACGTAAAAATACAGGTGAATACAGACACACACTTTGTATATTATACACACACACACGTTCATGTGTACATATTCGGTAAAAACTCTAAAGCTCTCAACCTGTAGCAGTTGCATTTATATTGAGTAGAAAACTGACACGAGCTAAGCAGAAGGGGTTACTGCATTTTACAAAGGTTGTGGAAAAAGCATGTGAATTAACCCCAGTCTCTGTTTATGGTTACTCAAGGGTATTTGCCAGTGCTTTTAAAAAAAGCATTCTATGGACACCATACTGAAGCTCTGCTCCTCAAGGAGTTACTACATCCCTGTTATTGTTAACACAGAGTCTAAAGTGAGCATGTGTGGCTATGTGGGTGTTCCTGCAGCGGCAGGGCTGAGCTGTGCTTTGCTGCGCTTTGGTAGCCCCACACTGTCGGTTTTACAGAGTGGATGTGCCCACGCATACAACCCATTGTGCACAAGCAGTACAGACTGTGGGACAAACCAGAGATCATGTGCAAGCTTCTGGACTGGATGTTGTCTTCAGCTGGGTCATAGTCAAAGACGGATCCGGGATTAGTGCGCCACACCCGGAGCCCTGCAAGAGAAACAGCATCTTCTGAGGACAAGCTGCTGCTCAAGCAACTTTTAGAGAGCTTGGGCAGCACGTCTGTCCTGAATAGGAGTAAAAGTGTGTCAGAAAAGGGCAAGCAGTGTTTCTCGAATCTATAGCACTGTTACAGAGAGATATCGCAGCGGGTTTTCTTTTTTTTTCAATTTAATCTACATCAAGGGAGCTAAGGTCTTTCTCTAGTATGCATAGAAATGAAATTAAAAATATAAGAAATTAAAATCTAGCATTACATTATGAAGCTGGGCAGAATGGGAGAGGCAGAGTCACAGCTGCCGTAAGAGTATTTTCAGAATGGACTTAGATAAAAACATCATCACCCAGTAATGATGAATTTAATTGCTATGGCTGAGCTTAGCTAGAACAGTTCCTCCAGGGCAGCCTGTGCTTGGTGTAAATGAAGGACTCAAGCTGTTATAAAACCCAGGTTCTGCTTACCTGTGAGATTCTCTTGATCCTGGTCCACACGCCTTCGCTCCATTTCTACCACTCGCCTTTGGATGCCGCGATAGCTGATGTCGCTGAAGTCCTGCATGTTCTTTTTCACGCGTTCTGTGATGGGGTCGGTAACTACAGGTGTGAAACTACCTTTGCTTTTCTCAAAGTCTTCGTGGTATTTCACCTGCAATTTCAAATGAAACGGCTGTTAGCTGTAGCTTAGATAAATCATTTATATTCCTGCTTACCTCAGGTGAATTTCTAGGCGAGAGGTGCAGGGCTGCTCTGAACTTTCTCCCATCCAAGAAACAAGGAGAGAGTCTAACACCAAACATGCTTCTCCTGCTGTCACTCTTGCCTTTGTATAACCAAACTTGGTAAACGTACATTGTTCTTGAGCTCCCAGCCCTGGAGTGTCTCAGCAAAAAGGTTTTTATTTAAATCACTTGCCAAGTTAAAAAAATAATAAGTGCTCTTACCGTTGAGATGTGTTTCTGGGTCTCTCGGACACGCCGCATCTCAGGCGTATCCAGGACATACGCAGCTTTGCCTTGGACTTGCTTTCGGAAACTATCTGAATAAAGAACCTGCCAGAGGAGAAAAAGGAAGTGAGCCCAGGGCACAAAACTGTTTCTGCATCACGAGGAAGGGGCTGTACTGCAGCAACCTGGCAAAGAAGGGAAAAAAACCCCAACAAACCAACACAAAAAACCCCAGCAGCAGTGTTGGGGAATAACATCAGAATGCCAAGCGAAAGTCTTTTTCATGATTATGAGACAGGCACAGGTCAGCAAAGAAGGGCCTAAAGAAGGCCAGTTCCACATTACACATTTTTATGTAGAATGTCAGAAATTTAACATAAAATACACTGTTGCTGAAGAATGATTGTTTTAAATGTCATACAGGATAAGAGCAGTTAAACCAGCAGATATTTGCAAGAGACTTGAAGGCAACATATGTTATTTGAAATTCAACCGTTGTTTAAAAAAAAAAAAAACAAACAACAAACTAAAGCAGTTAATCACACAGAAAGAAGTAATTGCAGCAGAACGGAAAAAGCAAATATTAAAGGATTGAATTTTAGTATGGTTACTTCCTACTTCCCTACGAGGTAGGTAGGCCGTTAACATCTGCACTGTTAATTTGAGTAAGGATTTCAGGGATTCAGAGGTTACTTTTTAATGTTTTTTAGTTTATTGGCTGAAGAGAACATACTGAGCTGATGTTTTCTTGGTTGCGTTTGGCTCTCTCCATCTCTGGAGTCAGTGGTGTTGGCGTCCCTTTTGCCAGCGCTTCCTTGTACAAAACCTACAGCGTACAGAAAGGTGGCCACAGGTCAGCCCGCAATAGTTCCGAGCGCGGTCTGTCAGTGGTGTTATTGTTCAAGCATACTCAGCACGGAGGGGAGAAAAGATCTCGGGAAGTAAAGCAGCTAAAAAGTTATTTGCTAGAGCGAAAGGGAAAAATAGGCAAAAAGAAGGAAAATAAGGCTGAATTAGAAGTGGAGTTCTGTTCAGAATGGTTATTTGTGATATCAGGCGGTTGTCTTTCCTCTTTCAGTACCGAGCTAATCTGTTCTTGATTGCGTTTGACTCTCTCCATCTCGGGAGTGACCGGGGTGGGGGTTGCCTTCCCTAAGCCTTCTTTGTACACAACCTACAGATCACAAAGTAACTCCAAGTCACAAACAGACAAATTACAAACCATAATGTTACTGGGTTTAGAGTAAACATCATCTGTTAGGAAAAAAAAAAAAAAAAAAAAAAAAAAAGTAGAGGAAAAATAGTATTACAAAAGTTAATATTAACAAAAAAAAAAATCTTTTAAGTACTACAATTTTAAGTGATGACTTTCTAAATTTGAGGGAAAAAAAATTAGAGGGTTAAATAAAACCAGGCAGACTTAAGTTATTAAAAAAAGCTCTCTCTCATATCCCCTTTACTTCTTCCAGACAATACCGAGCTAATCTGTTCTTGATTGCGTTTGACTCTCTCCATCTCTGGAGTGACAGGTGTGGGGGTTGCTCGCCCCAAGTTTTCCTTGTACAACACCTGTGGGATACAGAAGATGTATCCAGGATCTTAAACCTCCCCAAAATCCAAAGGATTTGAACACAAATTATTACTTGGTTATCAAATTTCAAAAAAAAGTCACGACGGATTACGATACACAGCACTGCACAGAAGCCAAACATCAGCTGCTGTAAGGACGGGTAAGAAAAACCAACTGTAAAAGAGAAGGTGGTTATCTGTCTGGTTAACAAAGACGGGCTCTATCCAGCTGCAAGCATGGGCGCGGGGGAGCTGCCTGTGGCCCTGCAGAACTCTTTAAGAAGTGTTTTAGCTGTGCTTGAAGCAATTTGCGACCTATTTGGGAGGGAGCAGGGAGCTTTGTTGCCACACTGGCATTGGGCAGCCAAATGAAGGAGGGTGTCGAGCTGGGTGCCTGGGATCCCGGCACCGTTACACCTACCCATCTCCTCCGTCCTAAAAGCTATCACTGAGCCGCCGTCCAGAGCAGGAACAGCCTCGTTCCTGTTGTGTCATTCTGTTTAAGTCACCTGTCACACATGGGTCAGGTGTGGTTGGGTTTCTCATTTGTCTTTTTTTTTTTTTTTCACTAAAGTCAAATGCCCCTGAAAAGCCAATGAAAGCTTAAACACTAAGCACAGAGAGATGAACCTGAATATCTACCCCAGAGGATGCTAAGCTCTTAATATCATCTGGATAGAGCCCACAGGTACACAAACCGAGCTGTAGAAAAGACCTAAATTTCTGGATCAGACTGTTAACACTAAAGTAATTTTATTTTAGAAGAGGAGCAATTAATTTGCAGAAACAAATATATCTATTTTTAAATTAAAATCAAGGTAGTTAGAATGTTACTTCATTAAGATATAAGCACAAAGGAAAACAGAAATGTATCTAATTTAAGGTACCGAGCTAATGATTTCTTGATTGCGTTTGACTCTCTCCATCTCTGGAGTGATGGGTGTTGGGGTCACTTTCCCCACATTTTCTTTGTACAAAACCTACATGGTACAAGGGAGTATCCAAATGTCATTAAAAAGGCATCATCAAAGAAAGAAAAAAAATTTAAAAAACCCCAAAAAACCCAAAACAAAACAAGAAGAAAAAAAAACAAAAAACAAGAAAAACCACAAAACCAAAGCAGCACCAGTATAGCTTTTGAACCATTACACTTGGGAAGGGTTAGACTGGGACACAATGCTGTTCCCAAAAGAAGCAACGGGAGCTTTGCCGTTAATCTACCACGGTGCAGAAAGGGACCCTGTATGGAATCAAAGCACACTTGTAGTAAGAAAGGGTTAAAAAAATTGCAAAGAAACAATATCCATACAAAAAAAAAGGTCAAAAACCTAGTTCTAGTAAAATCCTGCTTCAGCCAGCGTTAATTAGAGGATCCTACAATTGGCTGGTAAGCACAGAGGTGGGGGTTTATGCTCCAGGGCAGACTGGTTTCGTAACGTTAGAAAGCACAGATTGCTAAACTGCTGCAGTTATGTTTGTTAAACGCTTCATTCAGATCATTAGGAAATGGTTTCCTGTTAAAAATACCGAGCTAATGATTTCTTGATTGCGTTTGACTCTCTCCATCTCGGGAGTGACGGGTGTTGGGGTTGCCTTCCCTATGTTTTCCTTATACAACACCTGCAGCACATGAGGAAGGAGCCAAAGAAAGCAACAATGAACAAAAAGCTAGCCACTGACCAACTTCAAGCCTAGGGCTTGTTTTCTTGTTTTTATTTTCTCAGGGCCTGGGTATCATATATATTTTTAAAGAAAGTACTTAGCAATATTCTACTAGAGCAGCAGGGCTGGGCACGCTGGCTTTTCAACTACGGGATCACTCGGAATAAATAGTGTGAGACCACAAAAAGCCCATCCTCAGGGGCTGAGGATGTTATGACTATGTAAATTATATTTTTTTAAAAGAATGTCAGCACTGCAGAGAAAAGGAGTGGAGTTTGTTAAGTGTTTTTAGGATTAGAATAGGGCATTAAAATCACTCTTAAAAAACCAATAACAACTGTAACAAGTTAAAGTCACCGCTGTAAACCACAGTCAGACGTGACAAGCAATCCCTGATGTGTTGGCATTATGTTGGAACAAGTGGTATTAAAACTGTTAAAAAATATTGGTTTAAATAGAGTTAAAGGGAACTCTCTCTCTTAGCAAAGTACCGAGCTACAGATTTCTTGATTGCGTTTGACCCTCTCCATCTCCGGAGTGACAGGAGTGGGGGTTCCCGTCCCCATGCTCTCTTTGTACAACACCTGCGTAGCAACAAGAAGCATCCAGAAACATCATCACAACTCCGGAATGATTACAGCCAGCAGGAAGTCAAATATTGGAGGCTGCTGGATCTCAACCTGTTCTAACGTGCCCTAAAAGCTACCTCTCACAACTAATACATTTTCACGGTGGAGGGGAGCTTTTCGACTACTCTTGAAGTCTGCTGGAAAGTTGGACCCTCCTTCTTCTATGATAACAACATTAAAATAGGAAACTGGTAAGATTAAAAAATAAAAACCACAAAAAAACCCCAAACAAAACCAAGCAAAAACCAAAAACCCAACACCACATAGAAAAAGGAAGTTGGAGCAGGGAGCAAAATGGTTAAAAGATGTAGGGTTGTGTAAATAATTACATATATGAAGGAGAGGTAGGTCAGTAACACTGGAAAAGAGACTACAGTGAAGAAGAAAAGATGTTTTTATAAGTTGATTAGATGGAAGTAAGGAGTGGAAGTGTTCATTTTTAATAAAGGTTAAAAAATTCTGTTTAAGTGGAGTTAAAGGGAATATTTCTTTTCCTCCACAAAATACCGAGCTAATGTGTTCTTGGTTGCGTTTGGCTCTCTCAAGCTCAGGAGTGACAGGTATCGGGGTTCCTGTCCCCACATCCTCTCTGTACAACACCTGTGGGGTAACACGGCTGCATCAACAAGAGAGAAGAAGGAACAAGCAAACAACAGTAACACGCGGCTTGCTGAGGAGACAAACTGAACATTTGTCAGAGTTGCAGTGAGCCAAAGCTTGGAATAAAAGAGAAAAATTAAAATGTTCCTCGAAACGATACAGTTCCACACTAACACTCTGCCTTGGCTGCTGGCAGAAGCTGCAATTCCTTCTCTACTTGCTTCTCAGGAGCTGCACAGAAAAACTCTCTGTGCAACAGTAGACGGTTCGAGACTCCCTAAAGGCAGAAAGTATCAAATACAACACAAGGGAACAAGGAAATCAATTCTGTTCCATTTTCCCACTCCACAAACCCCCCAGCAGGGTACACTGGCGTGTATTCATTAGAGCACTGTTATACCCAGGTCAGAGCCACAGGCTTGTATCAGGCGAGGAATAGTTTAGTTCTCATATCTAAAGTCAGTAAAATTGGGAAAAAACCCACCACACAAAACAGAAGGAAGGATAGTTGTGACTAAGAAAAGGAAAACAGGGTGTTTTTAAAAGAAAAAGAAAAAAAAAAGCTAATCAGACTCAAAAGAAAGGTGAAATTAAAAGTTACTATTAAGATGATGTAATAAAAAAAAGGGGAACAATAATGTTGTAAGTAACAATCATAGAGGAAAAAAAAAATCTGCAATGGACCAGGATATTATTTTTTGTGTAAGTTGATTATAGGGGAACAAGAATACTTTTTTGTGTGTTAAAAGTATTTTAAAATAGATTAAAAGGGAAAATGCTGCTTTTCAAATGAA